CGCAAAGTTGCAAGGAAACGGTTTTTCTAAAATAACTAAAAAAATATAGCTCCTATCGAAAAATTTTAATTGAGAAAGTTGTAGGTTTTAAAAAGATCTATCGACTGATTTTTTGTAAGTATCGATTGCTTTGTTACTTTTCGAGATATATCGAAAAAACCGTTAAAAATCTTCTCTTTTTTCTTCTTCTATAACTCGTTTACATTTACGTTCCCATATTTGCTATTTACTGCAAACATAGCCCGCGGCAAGCCAAAAAAGTACATTTTTGAAAAATTTAAAAATATTAATTATTTCTCGAGATATATTGATTTTTTGAAAAAAAAAAGGCGCTCTCGAAAATTGGCTAGATCTTCTCAGCGGATAGCCGTACAGTCAATATTTTTGGTTTATTTTCTTCGTAAGGAGTTATATTATCATGCTATTAAAAAATGTTGACGATTTTATTAATTTTAAGGATCAAAAAATGACTGAATAAGTTGCACTTTTTTTGGCAAATATTATTATTGAAATAGTTATTTGAAAAAAACAATTTTATTCAATGGAGGGACGAATTCTAAGCAAAAATTGTTCTATAAGAATTTTTTGTACAGTCAATACTTTATGAGTTATTTGCGCCTAAACATGTTCGTTATTAGCCCAAAAAATGCATGTTTTTGAGCCATTTTTCGCGAATATCTCAAACACTACAAATTTTATAAAAAAAATTATCATAAGCAAAAATGAAGGTAGTTAAATAGCAAAGAGATTGCTTTTTTATTTTTGTAAATGGTATAGAACCCGAGTTATGACTCCCAGAAGTTGAAGTCAATTTCGAAGATAGCTATAATCGAAACGTTCAACGTCCTGTAGCGGAAAAATTAAAGGTTTTTCGAGGAAAACTTATATAACACTTATTAAAGTTCTTGAAAAGACCTTTAAATTGAGTATTGACGGTAAAAGTCGTTAGCATGAAAACTAATGAAGTTACAATCAAAATAAAATGATTGGCTCGAACTTTGAGGAAAAAAAATCGGTATTAAAATTAATGACTTGACGGAAAAGAAAATTAAACGTATTCCTTACGCAATTTACTTTATTTATGTATTAACAGTAGATTCTGGAGATTTAAACGATTTTAGTAGCCTAAATTTAAAAAATTTTTCATTTACTTTTGAATAAAATTTTTCAATTTTTTAGAAATATTTCAAAAACTAACAAAGTTATAAAAAAATTAGGGAATAAGAAATTGTAGGTTTTTTCTTACTGAACAATTTGCTTTTTTAAAATTTTTGTAAGACAAAATTTGACTGAGTTATAACCGTTAGAAGCTCAAAACTAAGCTCCAAGACTGCCTTTCCTGAGCCCTTTTAGCTTACAACTCTAAAAAACGAAGGGCTAAAAAAAACTGCAAACCACAGAACTTAAAGTGCTTTAAGTTCCCTACAAAATGGTTTTTAACTTTAAAATTACAAAAGTTATGGTAAAAAAATTAATCGCATTTTTTCGGTAAAATTTTCGGTGCGGGTAAATTACCATCATTTTGGAGCACTTGTGAACTGATTTGAGTAAGTATTTTAATAATACATACACACTCGTATTCATTTATAATGTACATAAGTATATATAATTTTTTTATTTGATATAAATTTAATAAAAAAATATTAAGAATAAATTTAATAAAATTAAAAAAAATTAATTAATTATATCATCATACTCACATATAATTTTTAGGAAATTTTTCTATAAGGGGTAGAGTTTTTTATGAGGGGTAGGTCTTCCATAAGGGTTTTTTGGGTGGTTAAAAAGTTGCAATATATCATAGATCATCTGAAACCCAATAAAAAGTTTATAATTCAACATTTGCATACCATTAAAACATCTCAAGCTTTCAATAATATTTTATTTTATTTTAAGGGATGGTTTTTAAGGGTTGCAACTTTGTAATGGGTCGTAAGCTTTCTACTGAATAACAAAATAAATGCAATACATTGTGAATGCACCAAAAGAATATTTTAAACTGTTAAAAACTTTTTTTTCAATTTTTTTGGCCATGGAAGGATAGTTTTAAGGATTTTTTAAGGGTTGAAAAGTAATTAGATTTCATAAATTATATTAAAAAACATGAAAGGAACTTTATCCAACATATTTGAACATGAATTGAGTCTTTAAAATACGTAAATCTACATTTTTTCGTGCAAGGGTAGTTTTCACCCTCAAATAGAAAAAAGCACACATCTAGACAATATAACTTTTGAAGTGGAGGGTCAGATGAGCTTGTATACAAATATTCAGGAAAATCCATGCTATCCTAAAAAATTGGAAGCTTTTATATTATTTTTGCCTTCAGTGACGACTAGATTGAAATATGAAATTATATTTTTTAAAATGCCTGTAACTTCTAAACAAAATCGAATCGGAACTAACTTCATACAAGAAAAATTGTTTGAAATTAACCCAGATACCATCCGTCAAAGTTTGTCATAGAGCTTGCATAACACCCTGTATGTATGATACCAATGACGTCACTCATCAGTTCTGGGTGGAAGTGTCGCGGAGGGGATCAGCAGTTTGTAGACAGCGTCCTACTTTAACGAACTCGGGCAAGTTCAACGTCTTATTTGATGCGAAAACGTAACAATGGCAACTATTACTCCCCAAGAATAATTACATACAGTAATTAAACTCTTCGCTTCTAACCGAAAAAATACGTCGTATATTTAATTTACATGTCATTAGATAAAGATATTAGCATTTCCATATTTTCCAAACTTTTATCTATGGAAATTGTCGATGACTCACGGCGTCACATTGCCGAACACGCTGCTATAAAACAGTCTACCGACCGCTATTCACCGAATTCGATGAGCATATAAAGATAAAGAGATAACGCAAAGTTGTCTAAGATAAGGGAAATGATTTTCGGGATAGTGGCGATGAATGTCGATGTTGTCTCCATATCGGTCATGTCGTAGCGCCGTTTAAAAAATTACAGTGAAACGTGTCGGATATTAACCAGCCAAAGCGGTAAAGGTGAGAATTATAATAAAATTATTTAATGCACGATAAGTTGTTCGGGTTGCTATGCCGTTGCTGCTGTGACCTGATCGCCTTAGCCTTCGCTAGAAATTTCTGACCTGCCCTTGTTGTTCTCGAGCTAGGTTGTGTGGAGGCGGACCTACTATAGTCTGTTTAGAAATGAAAGAGAGTAATAAAAGCTCATTATGTATGCAAATCGTAAATAAATGTAGTACTGGTGCTTATATTCAATATTTTTATATTATGTTTTATAGGTATAGATGAGGTGTACTTTTAACAAAACTTTGTGCGATCGGACTGTACTAAATTGTAGCAGGTAGCTAAAATTTAATCCCCGAGAATCCGTCTTTGTCCATTTCAAAACATGAGGCTACTTTAAGCATCATAACCGGATTAAGAGGGTTTTTAGTAATTCAAATAAAATTATTCAATATTATCATCAAAATATTTATTTAAATTTAATGAATAGACTTTTATTGCACACAAAAATATATGTATTTTGAAAATTCAAATTATGGTGAGTAAATGTAGTGTTGTATAAATGTACAATAAAGAAAATAAAAAAGTAGGTATATTAAAATTCATCCTCTGAATATTCTGATGAATTATCTTCGTCTCCTAGATTGATAACGATAGGTTCCACAGTGACGTCAATTAAATTATCGAGTTCCCACATTTTCTCCTCTTCTTTTTGTACATGATGAATACATCTTTGCCAGTTATCTGCAGTTACTCGTTCCAAGGAATTTTTTAACAAAATTTTCACGTCACTTAATTTAAACGTCGTATTATTTCGCGCTACATCTCCTTTTACCTGCGCCCAGACTAATTCGATTGGGTTAAGTTCACAGTGATAAAGTGGTAACCGTAGTACCGTTATTTGGTGATTTGTTGCCATTTCATCGATAACATATTTTTTCTGATCTTTATTAAGATTGACAAGTGTCAAAAGTTCCTTTTTCACCATATTTGTTTCAAAAGAAATGTTTTTTCCGGATAACCATTGAATTATATCGGCTTTCCTCCAAGCAGTCGTAGGCGTCCGCTCGGTCTGCCGTGAATGGTAACTGGCATTATCCATGACAATTACAGACCCCGGAGGAATAAGATCCAACATCTGTGTAAAATACTCTTCGAAAACATCTGCGTTCGTGTCTTCGTGATAGTCACCTGTATTTTTAGGTTCAAATAAAAGTAAACCGCCATCTACAAAACCACTGGCACTACCTATATGTGTCACTATTAATCTTCGCCCTTTACCTGAAGGTGCCTTGAACCCTGTTGAAAGTCCATCCAAAAATGCTTGTCGAAAACTTTTTACATTTTTATCTTGCCATACTGTTGTTCGTTGACCCAAGTTTCGTCTAGATAATAAATATTCCTCCCTTCGTCACGGAATTTTCTAATTGATCTTAAGTAGGATCTTCGCCAACAAATAATTTCATCTTTATCGATAAGAACTGACTTCCTGTTCTGCTTTTCCCAGCAAAAATTCAACTCTCGTAAGACCGCCCATAATTTGCTTCTACTGATTTTTGGCAAATCGTTGTCCTCTGAAAGTTCACTTAAAATATTGTTTAGCGTTGGTATTTCTTTTTTAAAATAAAATGAGTGTACTTTTCTGCGAATGACATTTTTATAATAATTACCTGAAACGAAATATTATCACGCCCATGGCCGGTTCTTATCTCGGGGTTTTATTACTATCTTTCATTTCCAAACAGACTATATTAGAACCCCTTAGAGACACACATGTATAGGACAACATTAAGCATCCTGAATCTCGAAAACGAAGCAGTGTGTTCATATGAACCCTTTTTCTTATTTTTTTGGTTTTATGATGTTCTATACTTTTTTAATATACTGTATACCTGCAACTTATAAAATAATGCTACATTATACACTTTCGTACTTTTCTGGACAATCAATCATCGAAAAGTTTACAAAAACGTAGCTTCTCAGTGCTCATCTTTTTTTTTTAGTTCTCTCTGGTGGAAATTGCCAAGAACAGTATTTTAAAACCCCTAGGGACACTTTATTAGGATCTCCAGTATTTGGAATTAGTAGTTTATATTAAACAGCGACATGACTACCAAACAACTGTTGATAACCGACAGAGCGGCGGTTAGAGAAAGCTTTGGAAAATCGGAGAAAGAAGTGAAGAAGGACATCGCGATTATTTTGGAGTGGTTCAAAACCCAGCCGCATCTGCCAGAAGTTCCAGGTAAGTTAATTGTTATTTTTTTTTTTAGGTCTGCGGTGAAGCAAAGTGTCGTTCAAAGAATTCTAGAGCAGATTCTACATTCAAAAATACGAAAAAAATGTTTAATGTTTCAATAAAAATAATTATTTGCGTGATTTTTAAACATATTCAATAGCACGAAAGCCGCTAGCTAATTGACAAAGGTGCATGTTGCTCTAAAATAAATGAAGTTCCTGGAAATAAAGTAGAAAAGCCAGTGGCGTAGATTTCCGGGTCAAAAATCAATAGGTTCTCCCCCATATCTACGCCCCTGATGGGTCTGAAATGCAATCGATTATACCAAATTATAATCTACCTATCATAAATGTATTGACCCAAATTTAAACGATTTGCAATGAAAAATTTAGAAATTATCAATAAGAAACATATATTTTTTATTTTTTTAACACCCTCTATTTCGAAAACGAAGCATTTGCAGGCCTAGGCGGAGCTAGCCGGATCAAACGACCCCGAATTCGAATTCAGCGATCCCAAAAACGTATAGATACATTGGTTTACTTTATTGGCCATTGGTTCTCTACATTTGACCTTGAACTGACCTTAACGAAAACCTGATCGGGTCAAACGGACGTCGGATTCGGATTCACCGACCCCAAAAACGTATAGATGTTTAGGTTTACTTTATTGACAATTGATTCTCTACATTTAACCTTGAACTGACCTTCAACCAGAGCTAATCGGGTCAAACGGACCGAATTCAGATTCAGCGATCCCAAAAACGTATAAATACATTGGTTTACTTTGTTGGCAATTGGTTCTCTACATTTGACCTTGAACTGACCTTAACGCAAACCTGATCGGGTCAAACGGACGTCGGATTAGGATTCACCGACCCCAAAACGTATGGATATGTAGGTTTACTTTGTTGGCAATTGATTCTCTACATTTGACCTTGAACTGACCTTCAACCAGAGCTAATCAAGCCAAACGGACCCGAATTCAGAATCAGCGATCCCAAAAACGTATAGATACATTGGTTTACTTTGTTGGCAATTGGTTCTCTACATTTGACCTTGAACTGACCTTAACGCAAACCTGATCGGGTCAAACGGACGTCGGATTCGGATTCACTGACCCCAAAAACGTATGGATATGTAGGTTTACTGTTGGCATTTGATTCTCTACATTTGACCTTGAACTGAACTTCAACCAGAGCCAATCAAGCCAAACGGACCCGAATTCAGATCCAGCGATCCCATAAACGTATAGATACATTGTTTTAGTTTCTTGGCAATTGATTCTCTACATTTGATCTTGAACTGACCTTCAACCAAAGCTAGTTCAAAAAAGTGATTGTATTTTATGGTATTCTATACATGCAGTTGTGTCAATATTCCTTAATTAATTGACCTTTTATACATCAAGTTGAGAGATTTTGATCATTTTTTTCTCGGAATTGGTTGAGTTTAGGACCCATGTTTTTTGTTTATTTAAATGTATTCTATCGTCTGTTAAAACCAAAGCAGTCAAACTGCTAACATCCTGTATAGATATAGGACGTAATAATAAATACCAGCAAAAGTTATCAAATTAAATTCTTACTCCTAAGTGTTCCTCCATTAATTGTCTCCGGCTATCGTTAAATACCCATTTCAAAAACGAAAATGACCCTTCAGTATTTATCGAGGGTACAGGTGCATATCTAAAATAGTCAAAGCTTTTAATATCTGCTATTTTTGCTAATGGTTGGGAAGCATCAACTACTTCACATTTTAGTAATCCCACGTCAGTGTACAAAAACATATACAAATATACATGTCTGCCTGTGATCTGAAGCTTCGCATCGATCAATCTATTCGATACGTGTCTAACGGCACCCTAACGCCTGCCCTGTCGATCTGGTGTGCCGGACGGCAATCCAGGTTTCCTACAGAGAGTCGTTAGCCGTCCATTTCATTGTAGTTTGTACGTGTATGAGACAGTTTGGCGCTTTGCTCTTGGTTATATGTATGGCACGTGTTTTTATGGCAGTCAGAAGCATTGTGTATCGTAAGCATAGAGCGGCAACAGGATTGACTACAAATTCAACCTATTTCTGCTACTACTTCCTAGCATAATATAGATTATTACTGATTATTTATTTGATTGCCGCCACAAAGTTTCCGATATCTAGTGATTATCTTACTATCTTAATTAATTGTAATGCGTAAATGTTCTATGCAGAAATTTGACTTGTTTTTGTATAAACTTTAAGAAAAGTTTTGTTTAATTCTCGATAAATTTTCAGACGATGCCATGATAGAAAACTTCCTTGTGACGAACAAATTCAGCATAGAGCGTACCAAGCAGAAACTGGATATGTACTACACCATCAGGACACTGATGCCTGAGATCTACGAAAATTCCAACCCCAAGTCACCCCGCATGCAGAATATCGACAGCATGGGGTAAGCATTTTTCGTCAAAGAAGGAAAAATTTAAATACACAACAATAAAGAAAAGTTTACGAAGGTGTTACAATATGCCACTGACAATATTAATAAACGAAATTTAGGATGAAGGTCCGTAAAGGATCCGTTTTTGAAGTACAGAGAGAAGTTTTATAATATTTTAGGTATTCTTATATTATTTGTGTACCTCGTTGGAATATGTTAATTGACCGTAGCTTATTTCATCTAACCTAAGTAATTGTTTAGGTGTCACTGGCACAGATTCACAAACTAAACACAGTGCTTTCAGAAAACAGTTGGTTTAAAAAATAACACATAAGCAACACAGCAAATGCACACATTCAACCGAGTTCGGGAGTTGCCCAGTAGCGGCGTAGACAAGAGTTTAAATTCAGTTTAAGAAACGAATTCGACTGTTTATTTGACTAAAAAATAAATAATTTCAAATTAGTATTCTGCAGAACAGGTGCTACTACCCTAAAAAAACATTTTTTTAGTAGGGACTATTTTTTCATGAATAACTTACACTTCAGTAGCGTAGTTGATTGAGGATTGAATTTTGTCAGTGATTTTTGCGAACAATGCGAACAGCCTGATTTTCAGTTATTAATATTATTTACCGATAATAACCACCAATGGGAGGATGAAAATCCGCATATTATCTCCCAACGTTGATTCCAAGAAGAGTTTTCTTTGAATATTTGGGCAGGCATTTGGGCGATTACTTGGTTGGTCTCTACTTTTTCCCCATAACCCTCGATGGTAGAACATATGAAAGCTTTCTACAAGAAGAATTACCACCAGTTCCAGAAGAGGTGCAATTGAGGTTAGGTCAATTATTGTGGTATATGCATGATGGGGCCCTCATTGCAGTCTTACCGTTAGACATTTGCTGAATAATGAGTATCCTAATCACTGGATTGGTAGAGGAGGACCCATTGCGTGGTCGGGTCGTTCCCCCGACTTGAATCTCTTGGATTACTTTTTTTGGGGTTACCTCAAAACTATGGTATATTGTATTCCAGTTTCCAATGTAGAAGTACTTCGACAGCGCATTGTAGAGGGTTTCGCAACCATACACAATATGGCTGGAATTATGAAGCGTGTAAGACGATCAATGCGGAAACGCTGCGAAGCATTGCATCCCAAGGATAGCATTTTGAACATTTCTAGTGATGTTGTGTAGTGTTTTGAAATCTCTCAAAAATATTAGGTATTGGATTTATTGTTACACATTTAGCAATCAACAGAAAATGGTAAATAGCAACGTATTTGACTTTCCAATTATCTAAATAAACTTTATGAATACTTTACAAGAATACTTTATTGCTACAAATCGATTGTACATTTTAAAAACATTTAAAATTATTTAAAAAACCAGTGGAGTGCAATTTTTTTTTTCAAAAAAGGTCCCCTACTCCCCTACGCCACTGGAGTATATTTTGGAATAAGTTATGCATGAAAAAATAGACCTTACTAAAAAAATGTCATCCCCCAAATGTTATCACTCAATCCTTTATGCCAGGAAAAATCGTATAAATATTTAAAACTTTTAACACCCTGTATCACCGTAGGGAAGCGTCCTATCAAAAATTTTTATAGGGCAAAACTTTATTATTTTCATCGGTAGAATACGCCGTTAAAGTTTTGCAAAACTTATCATTAACACCCTGTATAAATTTAGCTAAAAGATCTTTTACCGTTTTGACATTAAATTCTCCCACCTTTCAAACCATGCCAACAAATTCATAATTTTCTCTCGTTGCACCCCAGCATCTTCGTGCCGCTTCCAAAGCTTACCAAAGAGCTCTACAGGGTGTACGTAATGAAAATTTGCGGACCACCTGAAAACTATGACATGTACACTTTCTTCGCTCACGCTTTGAACGTGATAGAAATCAGGATACACCATGACACGGCTGTAGGCGACGTCTACATCATAGACCACGAACAGCTGAAGATGGGGCACCTGGTCAAGATGACGCCGACGCACATCAAGAAGGCCATCACTATCGCCGAGGTAAGTTGTTTCTAACAACACGGACACACGAAATAAAAGAAGTGGGCCGTAAATATCGCGGAATTCAGTTTTTTAAGAAAAAATCCAGAATCAATAAAATAGAGAAAGGGGTAGATTAAAATCTTGTGTGTGTCGCACATTAAAATATCAGGAATAGAGGAATCTTTCTCCTGTGTTGCCTTTTGCTGTCCTTAAATTTAATTTTCATATTTCTTTTTTTTTCAGAAAGTCTTCTCAAATAGAATAAAGAACATCCATCTGATCAACCAGCCATCTTACATTGAGACTTTAATGAATATAAGCAAAACTCTAATGAAACCGAAAATTTTGGCGAGGGTAAGTAACGATACAGGGTGTTTCGGAAATAGGTGCGTGCCTTGAAAAGGGTGGGTGAAAAGTGCCCCCTATCGCGCCTTTAATCTCTTCACTGGTAAATATTTCCACTTAGAAGAATATAATTGAAGAGATTTTATAAGAAATCCAAATCTATTATTTAAAACATTTTTTATGAAAAGCGAATAATATTTACAATATTTCTTTTAAAATGGAACACCTGATGTAGGGTGCGAGACATGTCGTCGATGCCCACGCTGTGCAAATAGCCGCACTGAACTTGACCTATAGTAGGATCGTATTCGATGCAAAGTAAAGCAAAAAGTTGTCGGTCTTTTATCAAAGGAAAATCGTGTCATCATTTTTAGGAGGCGTAAGATGAACCATTTCAAATTTAAAATGAAATTGAATGTAAAATCTGAAATACGCACTGTGTTCTGGTAGTAGCTGTAGTCGCCCAGGTGCATCGAGTGTACGAAGTGGTCGGTTATATGTCAAATACTAACCTGGCGAGCTTGGACGTAAATCAGAGAGCGCCTCCAAAAAACAAGTAAACAACAGTGACGCGGATAGAGCTAAAATGTGGAATTTAAAAAAATAAATTGGATTTATAATAAATTACATTTAAAATAAATAGTTTATGAGAATAAAGGAATTTTTGTAGGAACAAGGATGCCAGACGTGAACTGATTCCTTCGTCCCTTGATAATGTATAAAGAAATTATTCAATTTCTAAAACCCTTAAAAGCGTACTGCATTGGATCCCTTGACAGGCAATGATTTATTACTTTGCATCGAATATGATCCTACTATAGTGACTACATTGTAAACAATTGACGATTTGTTTAAGTGGGACGATACAGAGTCGACCTAAGTTTCGCGCAATAATTCTTGATTAATTTTTGACATGACACAGGTAGCTTAAAGAAAATTGTTTATTTTTACCTCATCTATTACTCGCTTTGAAAGAATACGGTTATTTCAGAAATATCCTGCATATTTGATTACCCAGATGAATACATGTTAACAGACAACTAGATGGCTAATCTATATTAGATAAAAAATAATTATGGTTGGTCTGGTTAACCGTCTAGATAAAACAATCTAGATGCAATACTTCAGTGGCGGCTGGTGACATTGTGAATAGGTGAGGCTCGTGGCTTTTTTACTAGGTGGGCAAGAAAGATAAAAAAATGCCGCAGGCAAAATTTTTAAATTTTCAAGGTCAAACGACTAAACGCATCTGGAAATTTTTAGTTGTATTTGCAATATTATAGAAAAACTGATGTTCATCAGCAGGATTTTCATTCAGATTTTATAAAAAATAATAGGCAACTATTTGGATAATTTATTAATCCGCTCTCAAATAATCACAGTCCCACAAAACAAAAAAAGTGGCAGGTTCGAAAGACAAGACCATGGTATTCGTATGGTTTTGGGGTCGCTGAATCCGAATTCGGTGTTCGTTTGACACGATTAGCTCTGGTTTAAGGTCAGTTCAAGGTCAAATGTAGAAAATCAATTGTCAAGAAACTAAACCTACTTATCTATACGTTTTTGGAGTCACCGAATACGAATCCGGTGTTCGTTAGACTCGGTCAGATCTGGTTTAAGTTCAGTTCAAGGTCATATGTAAAGCCACTTATGTTGTTCGTATTTGATCCTATGTAAGACTATCCTCAAAATATGGCACTCTTAATTCAATGTGCGTTAGGTTTATAACATCCATGTTTGAAGTGATTTATCCAACAATATCATTGTAGTAACCTAAGGAAAATTCTTGATCGTTAGCAGAATATTCCTTATTTCTGTACTGATAGTAAAAAGCTTTCACTTTTCCGGCTTGCTTAATATTTTTTATGGCCATGATATGAGGAACTCTGCTCCATTCTCTGCCAGGCCCAAATTTCGAATATCATTTTTTTTGTGATATTGTTCCTGTCTTTTTCACAACGTGATATGGAATATATTCGTCATCACTAGTATCACTAGCAATATCAGTGATAGTTTCATTGCCACCCAAATTTCTCCCTTCTTTAATATCTTGGTGAAACCTTTCTCTCTGGTTCAATCCCAATCAAATTTTTCACTTAGGTTTAAAACCAAAATATTTGTATAAGTATCTTTCGTATGTTGATTGATCTTTTTCTATTAGAAAGTATTTAATAGGCCTGATCGCTTCAAACGGACATCAGATTCGGATTCAACGACCCCCTAAACGTATAGATATGTAAGTTTACTTTGTTTTCAATTGATTCTCCACATTTGACCTTGAACTGACCTCAACCCAGATCTGATTGAGTCAAACGGGCGTCAGATTCGGATTCGGCGACCCCAAAAACGTATAGATACGTAGATTTATTTTGTTGGCAATTAATTCTCTACATTTGACCTTGAACTGACCTTAAACCAGAGCTAATCGTGTCAAACGGACACCGGATTCGGATTCAGCGAGCCCAAAACCATATGGATACCACAGTATTGTCTTTCGGACCTGCCACTTTTTTTTGTGGGGCTGTGAATCAATAGGAATAAATTTTCACGTCATTTTTTATTATGGAGATCTTCGCCAATGGCCCTACTATAACCGTAAATTAAAAAATTATATTATTAATAATAATATCAGAACTTTAAAAATTGTATTTACAATAAAATTAAGCTACAAAAAAAAACAAGATGATACAGGGCGAGTCAATTGTATGTAGTAGGATTTTAATAGCTGATAGAGAATCATTTTTTAATAAGAAAAGTTCCTATAAACGTAAGTCTTAGAACGCTTCGTTTGTGAGATATAGGGTGTTGAAAACAAACTTTTTTTAAGAATTTTTCTTAATATCTCTAAAAGACCAACATATATTAAACTGAAATTTGGTATTAATAACACATTAGTTATGGTGAATAAAACAAAGATATCTGTTATCCATTTCACACACCAGTGACGTGCCTGAGGTGGGTTACTGCCTCCTTTAAAAAAATACTTCGTACGCCCGTGGGTTTTTTGGAAAATAACATGATTTCTAAATTTTTTAATCAATTCTAAACAAAGCTCTCTTTCATTTTTTTATAAAATGAACGGTTTTTGGTTAAATTCATTTGGCATGAAACTGTTCCAACGATATTGGTAATATATTTGTAATAAGAACAATATGATGTACCCTGAAAATCAACAAAAACGATTAAATTACGAAATTGTTCGTCTCTGTACAAAATATTGAGTTCGTTTTTCAACCTATCTATTTCAAAAACGTTTGGATACATTTGTAAACATTCAAACGATTTTTCGGGAAATTTGTTTGCATATTCGGGAAATTTTGAGGATTCTATTAAAGCAACAAAATTTAAATCATGTAAATTCCCAAAACGAGTAGGTACCTAATTAAGGGGAAATATATTTCGAAAATATTTCTAATTCGTCGCAACTTTCGCCCCGTTTACTTGGTAGTCCAATAATATTTCTCGCATAATTAAAAATATTTTTAAATTTTTATTCATTTCTTAATTCAGAAATTCTTTGACTAGTAATTTTAACTTCTTTAGAGCACTAGTTTACGTCATTACGCCTTGAAAAATGTGTTTCAAGAGATAAAACAATATTGTGAGATAGTTTCATTATTAGCTACGTATGTAGGTATTTGATAATATAATAAGTATCTATTAAATTACGTTAAATATAGTCTTACTTTGTTTTGTTGTAAGGAAGTTGTTTTTTCTTTACATTAAATTAATGTCTGTTTTGTCCTTATCCTTAAAGCCTTTGTACTATTCCTCACACTGACATCAGACACTACCCGTGTACTATGCGACACGTACATTAACCGCGAACTGAAACTATAAGCAGCTTTGAGCCCTTGCTCACGTATTTTAAATGATAATTTAGATGATTTACTATGTACAATCAATTTAAATAGTCATGAATACTGGTTAAACTTTTTCTGTAACAATATCGTAAGACATTTTTCTTTCGTTTTAGCTTCATCTGCATAGCAGCATCGAAGGACTCCATGAGTACCTTTCTAAGGAGATCCTGCCTAAGGACTATAATGGAGAAGAGCTTTCTCTGCAAGAACTGAATGGTAGGTTCAGACAAATATTCTTTTTATAGCCTTTTTCATCTCGACTAATAAAATCTTCAAGTGAACCTTATTTAAAATTAACCAAAAGGTTAATCAGTCAGCCTTGGCAGGGGTCTTGCTTTCTTAATGCTGCGAAATGCAGGCCGCTCTTTATCAGCGTGGTCATATTGAGGGCCTATGTATGAGGTAGCAGTGATCGTTCATAGATGTAGTAGTCTACTACATCTGGTGTATATATGTTAGTGGGAAAACACTGACCACTTAAACAAAAGAAGAGGTCTACGTGAGCGTTTCCTTACCGTGTTATTTTTTTAGATCTCTGGAAGGTGAGTTTGAAGGAGCACGCTGATAGGTTCGACAAATTAGATAAATTGAAGATAAAGGAAGACCTTCGTCCAACGCCATTACAAAACGACGAAGTCCTGGGGTACCACGGGAATTTCAAGAAGCTCGACGTGGACTAAATCTTGTACCTAAGTCTTGCCACCAAAAAAATAAAAATTGAAGAGTATACCACTACTTAGTTTTTGTGAATTTCGAAATGTTGAATATCTCAAGTATCTAAAAAGTTTTATGATCGGGTTAAAAATAAGGAGCTGTAAGGATTTAACACAAATTTGTCTTAATATTCACTGATTTTCTCAACATGGTATATTTCACCAATGTTTTGAAAAAATATTTGATCGTTTCCTTATTCAATTAAAAATACAACAAAATTGTGAGGCGTTCTAAACAAAAGATTATCTCTTGTCATACTTGACTAAAAAAAAATGAAAAACTTGCAAATTGCTCATCCACCTAGGAGGGATTCTTCTTTAACTCTGCAACTGTAAAGTTTATTAAAAAAAATGGTCTTAATAAAAGTTGCCTGGAATCATGTGGGCCATGTATAGAATATAATTTTAGCTTTACAGGGTGTTCCATATCGCATGGGCGCTACATAACTTTATTATTTTAAATGGAACACCCTGTATATTATTGCATTTTTGAATTCCTTGGTTAATACTAGGTAGAGTTTATAAAATGTACATGTTGTTTAAAACTTACCGTTTTCGAGATATTCAGTTGTTTTTGAAAAAAATCACGAACCGTTAGAGTTAAAACCCTGCAGTTTTCACAGTTCGTTTTGGCATAATTTTTTTCAAAAATAACGCTGGAAATAGATGGAGAATCAAATTTTGAGCAAAAAATATTCGAAGAATTTTTTCGAGAAATCAATAGTTTTTCTATTCTATTCACGAATGAAACCCTGGAATTTTGTGTGAAAAAAAAAAACACTTTCAAATATGGTTAGTGGAACGAGACTTGTTTTGGGGACTCGAATCTATGTATTCAACGTCAAATAACGGAACAAGGATTAATTTTACGTGTATAACACTCCATGAGTCTCTTTGTAGTACTCAAAAAGACCTTCAAAATGAGCACTTATAAAAGCTAATTGGAGCAACATTGAAGGAGTTATCGTCAAAAACATATGGGATGCTCATGTTTTTTAAGGAAAAATGTGCAGTAAACGCTGTACTATTTCCATCAGAATTAAAATTAATCGTAGACTCTTTACAATTAGTTTTGTTTTTAGTGTTTTTCATAGGATCCTGAAGTTAGACTGGTTTAGAATGCGTATTTTTTTAATATTTGTACGGTAAAAATTGAAAACGTATTTTTCGTTATTAAAAAAAAATGTCATTTACAGAAACGTAAAAAATGATAGACAATAAAGATGTAGCTTTTTTTTCAACAAATATTTTTATTCCTATAGCATAAAAATTAAAGGAGATATCGCCGCTTGAAGTATCCATTTTAGAGAAGAAAACGACCTGTTTCAAGCCCTTCGATCCTTTCCCTTAAAAAAACGACATAAAAGGTTTTATATGCAAACGATCGTAGAGCTCATGAAATTATCTTTAAAATGCTTCTTTGTAGGATACTAGCTTCAAAATTAACCGAGTTATGGTAAAAAACCAATTACATTTTTTCGGAGCAAAATAGGTTTTCTCATTTTTATATATTATATATTATACAGGGTGTTAAAAAAAGAGTGTTAAATATTTCAGGAGGTAATAGTATGAACCAAAATAAGCAGAAAAGTCTTAATAAACATGGGTCCTCAAAGTAACTGTTGCGGAGATATGGACAACTATTCGTTTTTCAAACATTTTATTTTATTAGGAATAAACCGACAAAGGAAGCATTTAACAAACAAAAAACAAAGTTACAGAAGATGTTCAAAGTGCCCTCCGTCCATTTCCAAGCAGGCACGACATCTTCGTCTCAACGATATTCGAACTCTTTCGAAAACACCCTCCTTGGTTTGGATTTCTTGACACTTTTGATTAATCCGTAGCTGCAGCTCTTCCAGGCTATTTACAGGAGTACCATACACTAATGTCTTCAAATATCCCCAAACAAAGAAATCTAGAGGGTTCAGATCAGGCGATCTTGGAGGCCATAAAACAGGTCCGGCC